GAAAAGTTTGAAACTTGAGAAGAAGGAGAACAAGATCAAACCTGGGGTTGCTTACTCTGTGATCACTACTGAAAATGACAGACAGACTCTGGTACTAATCAATTCTTTCTCTTTATTAGGACATGTCTGCTTCAAATAATGCCATAGTAGTGTTGTAGATAGGGTGGAAACAAGCTGATATGAACTATATTGTGAATGGAAGCGAATCCAATATTTAAGATTTTTAGCATTGAACTCACTACACTTATAAGATTATGGGTTGTGAGGTTAATTTTGTTGAAGTTCTAGTACTAGTCTTTTGCTATATATTTGTTTCATGTTGAAGATATTGTGTTCAGTTGAGCCTACAATATTTATCTCCATCAGTCTGTGATTGTGATTGTTTGTTGGACCTATTTAGTTCGTAGATATGCCACGTCTTGAGAGACGCCGGGCAAATCCAAAGGATGTGGCTGCAGTCATACTAGGAGGAGGAGAAGGGACCAAGTTATTCCCACTTACAAGTAGAACTGCAACCCCTGCTGTAAGAGATTTATCTTTGCTCATGAACGTTGTCTCAATTTTTTGTTTTAGATGTCTAATGTCCAGTTAAAACTCTGGTCCATTTGTTGATTTCTACCTTAAACAGATAGATTAGAAATAGATAGAATATGTGTACAAGATTGCAAGTTGATGTCCACTCTGTGGTCAATTTCTTAAGATTCTGATGTTTTGTGCAACATGGCACCAGGTTCCGGTTGGAGGATGCTACAGGCTAATAGACATCCCAATGAGCAACTGTATCAACAGTGCTATTAACAAGATTTTTGTGCTGACACAGTACAATTCTGCTCCCCTGAATCGTCACATTGCTCGAACATATTTTGGCAATGGTGTGAGCTTTGGAGATGGATTTGTCGAGGTTTGAGACTACACTTTTGAAATTCTTGAAGGAAACTGGATTAGTCTTGCTAGATATCACAGCTGAGCTAATTAATATGAGTAAATTTGTTGGTCCTCCAAGTGATTTGTTCACACAAAATCTGTAACAATTTCGGATGATTTTTTTCATTGTTTTTCTGCTTTCTTGCTTAGTTTTACCGACTGAAAGGAATTCCGTCATTAAACAGGTACTAGCTGCAACTCAGACACCTGGGGAAGCAGGAAAAAAATGGTTTCAAGGAACAGCAGATGCTGTTAGAAAATTTATATGGGTTTTTGAGGTTTGTTTCTACAACTCTTTAGGACACTAATCCACCACTGCTCTCTTCTGTCCACCTGATATAATTTCTGAAAAATGTTTCATTATTTTTTCCTGAATCAGTTATTATGTACAGACATATAGTACTTTTGTGTTTACAAGGCAACCAATTCTTGCAGGACGCTAAGAACAAGAATATTGAAAATATCGTTGTATTATCGGGGGATCATCTTTATAGGATGGATTATATGGAGTTGGTGCAGGTATGTCCACTTTAACTACGTATGCACTTTTTGTTTGCCTTTTTTTTTTTTAAACAACAAAGTTTCTGACTGCCTCCGATCTTCAAACAGAACCATATTGACAGGAATGCTGATATTACTCTTTCATGTGCACCAGCTGAGGACAGGTTTGTTTAAATTCCAATAAGAAACAACTAGTAATGGTTAAGTGAATTGAGTGAGATCAGAAACAATATGGAGAAAGAGTGCTTCTCCTTTAATATTCATATGCATTACTTCGAAGTAAAAACATCACCACATTTCTTTATACCTTATTGTGATTATGTTAAGCTGAGATTTAAGCTTTACTTATCAGCCGAGCATCAGATTTTGGGCTGGTCAAGATTGACAGCAGAGGCAGAGTTGTCCAGTTTGCTGAAAAACCAAAAGGTTTTGATCTTAAAGCAATGGTAGGTTTAGTTGAACTCTTTCTTTTAGTATATGTGCTGATTTCTTTCTAAACAAATTTGCCAAGATTATTGAGCCGATGTAATCTCCAAATTCTGTTACAAATTCTGTCGCAACCTTTTACTATATACAACAACATTCAGACTAGTGCTCCTTTAGAATTCAACTCATTTATTTCTTGTGCTGCAGCAAGTAGATACTACTCTTGTTGGATTATCTCCACAAGATGCGAAGAAATCCCCCTATATTGCTTCAATGGGAGTTTATGTATTCAAGACAGATGTATTGTTGAAGCTCTTGAAATGGAGCTATCCCACTTCTAATGATTTTGGCTCTGAAATTATACCAGCAGCTATTGACGATTACAATGTCCAAGTAAAGGATCTTGGATCTTTCAATTGAAATTATTTTTATGAATTAAGTACATTAGTTACTCAACTAAAAAAATTAGCTGTAGTTTTAACAAATTTATGCTATCTTCTCAGGCATACATTTTCAAAGACTATTGGGAGGACATTGGAACAATTAAATCTTTTTATAATGCTAGCTTGGCACTCACACAAGAGGCATGTTGCAAATTAATCTTTATACTTGTCACCATATGCAATGAACTAATTTTGACTTCAGTGCATAATCCAACTGATTAATTTCCATTGCAGTTTCCAGAGTTCCAATTTTACGATCCAAAAACACCTTTTTACACATCTCCTAGGTTCCTTCCACCAACCAAGATAGACAATTGCAAGGTAAGTGGGTAAATTGTGCAAGTGTTTTGCATTAACTGGGGTTCTAATAGGTTTTGTATTCTCTGCTTTTCAGCTTAAGGATGCCATAATCTCTCATGGATGTTTCTTGCGAGATTGTTCTGTGGAACACTCCATAGTGGGTGAAAGATCGCGCTTAGATTGTGGTGTTGAACTGAAGGTTTGCTTGTAGCCCTAATTTTTAATTTATCCTGAACAAACAAACACATTTATTTTATTTTCTTTAGTTTGTGAAAAATGCACTACTAGTTTATTGTTTCTAGTACATTTTGTTGTAAACGTTTTACAACCACAGGATACTTTCATGATGGGAGCAGACTTGTACCAAACAGAATCTGAGATTGCCTCCCTGTTAGCAGAGGGGAAAGTACCGATTGGAATTGGGGAAAATACAAAAATAAGGTAAATGGACATTGAATATTTCATGAAAATGACACGAAAATCCTTTTTTGACAAATGTATTTCAGAATTCTTTAATTTGATGATTATGGTTTCACTCGTACAGGAAATGTATCATTGACAAGAACGCAAAGATAGGAAAGAATGTTTCAATCATAAATAAACATGTAAGCTTCTTTAGTGTGTCTTATTTTTCAACTATAGTAGAATATTATAGAGCGGAGGTTAGCTTCCTAACAACTATTGTTCACACAGTCAAGTTCAAAACACAATAGAGCACGCAACACACATTGTTGGTGTGTGCTTCTTGCTCGCGAGAAACGAAAACTATAGGGACTCTATTGACAAGATCCACGTGAAAAAGAAAACTGTTGCAAGCTATAGAGCACTTATATATTTTTGAGACATAATTGATTATTAGAATTAACTCTCTTTTCTTTGAAACTTTAGGGTGTTCAAGAGGCAGACCGACCAGCGGAAGGATTCTACATACGATCAGGGATAATCATTATATCAGAGAAAGCCACAATTAGAGATGGAACAGTCATATGAACTAGGGAAGCACCTCTTGTTGAACTACTGGAAATCCAAATCTCAACTTGAAGAAGGTCAAGGGTGATCCCACAAAAACCTAGCACGTTCAGCAATTGACTCCCCGAAGGAAGCTTTCTATGCTCATGTGAAAACAGCAAGTATAATCGAGACACGTGTCTAAAATAAAACTGAAGTTGCACTTCGCCTAGTTCATGTTCTAAGAGTCACATTATGTAAAATAGCATTTTGAACAACACAATGGTTTATTTATTGCTCAACTTACGCTTTTCGTATTGTAAAAAACTCTACTTCTAAAAAAATAAATCTCTATGCATCTCTTATTGTGCATCTTTTCTCTATTGATATCTATTTTTAGGACCATTTGTGCCTATTGTCTATTTAAAGTTCGCTACTTTTACATTGAATAGCAGAAAAGAAAAAAAAAAAAGTCAGTAGAATTTTTTTGGGCAGTTAAATGGGTGTTCTACTGTATAGTTATTCAAAGAACAAAATGTGAAACTATTTCTTCTATGCACTTTTAAGTAATGGAAACCATGTAATCTTTAGATTTTAAGCGAAAATTTAGTAGTAATGGTGGCATAATATACCTTGGCCTGCATAGTTACATGGTAGATGTGTCGGTGGGAGGAAGCAGGTACTCAATATATTCAAGGTACGAAAACCCTTGTCCATTTTTTCTTTAACTTCGCATATGGTTGACCAGTTTAATGTGATCAATATTTACTTTTGATTTTGCAAAATGCGAATCATTTACCAATAATGTTTTCCTTATCCCCTGGTCTGTGTGAAAAACACATTTAAGAATCTATGATGTTGGTTTTAACAAATAAGATCTTGTGTCTGAAGCCAAAAGATGTGAAACCTATATCATGTAGATGGGTATATAAAATAAAACGTCGCATAGATGGGTTGGTGGAGAGGCATAAAGCTCGTTTGGTAGCTCGGAGATTTACTCAAGAATATGGTTTGGATTACGATGAAACTTTCAATCCAGTGGCAAAGTTTACAACTGTTTGAGTCTTACTTGCACTTGCTGCTAGCAAAGATTCTTGCACCATATGCTCTCCATGTTGGAAAACACAAGTTACTGAATATAGAAATAGACCAAGTTGATTGTTTTCAAGAAAAAGTGGCAGGTACAATCTTGAACAACCAAATTTCAAATTGGGTTTACATCATTGCAAAACCAGGTGAAAAAAAGGAAACATAGGAAAAGTCATAATCAATTAGAAGAAAAATAACTTCTCAAAAGTATTATGTTGTCCGAGCTTGAATAGAGGAGCATGTCTAAAATTGTCAGTCACCGGTGTTCTCCAGAAAGTAAAGTTGGCATTGTTTAACTGTCCCATGAACTCGGTTTCAGCCACAACAATCAAGACTGCACATAATCAATCACGATAACAGTTTTACTCAGAACCTCTTTGGCATGTAATTAGTGTTGTAAATAGTTGCATACACGCAGATGAAGGAAGCCAGACGAGTAGCTTATTTGAGAAACAAGGTATCTGTGCATCGTTATGTTTAAATACAAAGTACCACCATCTAGGCAAATACAGAATCCAAATAAAAAATAAGATAAAAATACTTACTAGCGCCAACTATTTAAATCAAGCTCCAAAATGTACCAAGTCACCGGATACTGTTCCATGATATGAAGCCTAATAACTCTTGCTGATTGATTTTTCAGAAATTCTTAGTGTTCCAAACAACTAAAGGGCCTTTTTTATGAAATTCACATGGCTGAAAACCATTCATTGCCTTACCCATGAGGGCCATGGCACCAAGGCTTGGAAGTTGCTTCTTCTGGAAATCATCAAGCTCCAACTTTGAGGTTTGAGGCTCACAAACCACCACCGGTTGGGGCCTCTTTGGTGCATTGGTAGTCCTACCATGAAGCAGCCTTTGAATCCAAGAATGAGAAGTCAAAGCTTCTAGATCTTTCTTGATAACACTCATAGAAGCAGGACTAGAGTTCATTGCTAAGTTTGCAGTGTTGTCGTGAACCATCAATTCTTTACCATGACGTTTACTAGATGATGCTAATTCAGAGTTAGCTATGGTTCCTTTAGGAATTTGGCTGAGGAACTTTTGTGATTTCTCATGAGACGTTTCTCCTACTAAACTGGAGCTTTTAGTACCAAAAGCCAAAGAACCGGAAGCACTCACTTTGAGGCGCTTAACCCATCTACTAGCTGGGTCATGTCCAAGAAGCCCTTCAGGACAGAAATCAGTTCTTGATGAACTGGGTTGTTCAGCACGGGCCAGTATTGATCCCAAGTCGAAACTTTCAGTTCTGGAAGAACTTGCCTCCATATTATCAGTTGGAGCAGGCAGCTCTAAGTTTATATCCAACTTGAACTGTTTGTGTCCAGCTTCTTTCCTGGAGCCTTCAAGTGCAAGTCGACGGGGTGAAGTTTTGTCCATTTTGTTCACCTGCAAGATATCTTATGGTCAAAATTAATCAAGATTCTAGATTACATGCAATACAATGGAAATGTGAATATTATGAACTATTTGATGACTATAATTAATCTATGGTTACAATACAGTGGAGCACATGAAGCATTTATGAATTCAACTACAATCACTAGCCATCACTAAGCCTTGGATGATTTGGGGAGATTTCAACTCAATCTTGTTTTCTCCTAACAAATTGAATGGAGTTCCAGTTACTAGTGTGATTGCAGAACATTTGCTCACTTTCAAACTTGGTTGACAACACGATCAGTAACATTTTCCCATTTGGTTTTAACCTTATCATACAATGAACAGGAGTATCTGACCAACTCATTATTACTTGATTTCTCACATCAGACTTGGAAACTAGCAGGTAGGAAGATAAATATGAAAGCAGTTAACGATACAAAATTCAAGATAAACCAAATACCCTCTTGAAAACCTGGCTAGAAGATAGGAAGTTATGAAGAACTAAATAAATCTCAAGATTACCTTCTTTGCAATAGAAGAACTTGTACCTGCAAAATTAGAGGAAAGATAGATTCATTAAACGAGTAAAATTACGTACACTCAAACACTACATCTCAAATTAAACCTCTTTTTCTTTTCTTTTAAGTTAAAAATCTCTGACTAAGCCTTAGAAAGATCACTTGATTCATTGATCAGTTACTACTTAGCAAGACAATGAACAAAATAAACTCTATTTAAACCACTAGCGGAGGATAGCACATACCACAAAGCTGGTTCTTCTCCTGAAACACATCCATGTCCATGGTATCAGTTTCAGCTGAAGATTCATTCTTTAACACAAATTCAGAAGGCTTTCTGTCTTCTATATTTTCTTTTCTTTCACTGCCTGTGAGGCAATTTTGAATTTGAAGCTGCATTCCTCCCTTATAATGACCAAAAGATTTAGATGGGCTATCACGATTACTTAATGATGCTTTCCCATTAATTTTACTCCACATCCTTGAATTACCGATTACATTATTTCCTTCAAACAGACCAGCATCTGCTCCTTTTGTGGTTAACATACTATGGGTTGTCTGAGAAACACAGGGACGATATCCAGCCATTTCCACTACAGAGTCCATGGTATTGCTTGTTCTCATTGTCTCTACATCAAGCAAAGGATGTGGTAGCTTTTGTAACTCTTTTGATTCAGTTTCATGGGAAGGACTAGGTTCATTTTTTAACAACCTGACAAAGGAACAACCTGGGTTTTTCTGGAACTCTTCTCCACCAAATTTTGGAAGAAGTTTTCTGCTTGTGGAGGGTGCATCTAGCAAGAATGAGTCATTCTGCCTTAATTCTGGAGTGACCGATCTCCCATGTTCATGCTCCAACATTCCCAGTCTAGGCACTTCTTCTTTTGCAGCTAGGAATGATCTACTTATGAAAGCTTTCTGTGTCTTTTCCGATTCTTTAGTTATGTAATGGCCAGGATCTCGGTATGGCACAAGATGAGATGCTAAGTGACTTGGATTATCTATGAAAGGCCTCGATGCAACAGTGCCGCGACCAATGTCATATGGATGAGTCTTGCCACAATCCAAAGGATCCTGGAAGGGAGTTTTGACATTTTCACAAGGATTGTGCATTGGTAGGGACCAATTGCCTAGAGTTTCTTTTGCAATGGTTCTTGAACTTGTCTTGTTAATGACTTCAAACGTTTGAGTTTCAGATTCTCTTAATCTTTTGACGGATTTAGAGGACATTGTCTCCATTTTAACAATTGACTGGAGAGGCTTAGAATCTTGGTCATTTTCCTTGTTTCCAAGAGCATGATTTTGTGTTTCTGCCATAGAATTGTAGCTTGTTCTAGTCCAATGTGCCATCCAAACAGATTGAACTGAATGTGTAGACTTCCCGGTTCTACCATCACAATCTGAATGTGATTGTTTAACATGATCAGACATGATATCTTGGCCTTAGATCTTGCTAATGTAACTAGAGTTTTCCTTCAGTTGTTCATCAAAAGGATGTCTCCTTTACCTGGGAAAGAAAATTAAACAGCAATAAATCAAATTATAATTGTTGAACTATGTGATCATCTCATCTAAAAACTTGACATATATAGGTCCTGTTGTCCCATACCGCGTGAGTTCAAGTCGACCATCTCAAGCTTTTAGATATTCAGAGAGAGTATGATTTTACTTACATCTTCAACAATAATCACACAATATTTTCCTTCCACTGTTGTTAGTTGGATCATGGATGCTAGTAAGGAACTCAAAATCCCAATTTGAAAGACAATCATCAAAAGAAAAATTGAGACATCAAATCTCACCAACTATTTACTTAACAAGTCACACACCTTCTTAAGATCCACAATTTTGACCATTACATCTAGGTTCACACCCCAAAAAAATAAAATATACTAAAAATCACAAGAATTGCTAAAGTTGTTCCAAAATACAACAACAGAAAAGCTATAAAATAAAGTATTAACCAAGATTTAAGTCTCAGACATGTATACCCAAAGTCAAAATTGCTACAAAGTCAAGTAAAACTGTTCCAAAATACAAATAACAGAAAATTCAAGAATGCTACAAAATCAAGTATTAAACCAAGATTCAAGTCTATTCCATAAAAAAGAGATCAAATCTTTGACAGTAATATATTAGCAACTGAAAAAGGAACTCACCAGAATTTGAAGAGGGTAATCTGTTACTATGTAAAAAAGAAGAGAAGAGAAGAGCAGAAAGTAGTGAAGGAAGAGATGGAAGAAGCAAACACCAGAGAAAAAAATAACTAATACTCACACAAGCACAGCCAAATAAAAAATGAAGACAAAAGCCGACTTATGAGCTGTGAACCCATTGGGCTCCATTGATCTGCACTTTTTCTCCTTTCATTTTTAGTTTTGCCATTTTTAATATATTCAACAACAAAAATGATGATATATTTATTTTTAACAAATTCAAATCTAACAAGTAAAAATAAATAAAACAAGTAATTTTACTTTTATTTTAATAAATTCTTTATTTCAAAGCATATAATTTACTTTACTCGGCATTTAAATCAACACACAGGAGGTGAAGAAGATTAAATAGATGGGTTATATTTTATATGAATGTATTTTAGTCTAGTAAAATTTGGATTAAAAAAGAAATCGGGTAAAAATTAGTTGAAATTAGGTAATTTCAATAGATCAAAACATCCAATTCAGGCATATATTTGTTATAAGTTTAATAATGACAGATGAGAAACTTAACTGATAAATTAAACTAGAAATGTATTTTTTTTAACCCTTTTTCTTTTTTTTTTATTTGTCTATTTTAACAAATCAAGAAAAAAAGTAACTTTTTATATTCTCATTATTATTAAATAATTAAATAAATGACTTATAATCAAATTTATTTTTTAAAAATATAATTAATAAAGTAAATTTCTAATATTCCTCCGTCCAATAATAATTGTCTACTATACTATTTTGGATGTCCAACAATATCACACTATACTAATTTTATACTTAGTTTTTAATTTACCCTTAACATTAATCAGTCATTTCATGTTACATTTTTCAAGACATTATAATTATTATATTCAAAAGGTGATATAGTAAAACTAACCTTTTAGTAATTTTTTAAAAAATATGTAAAATCATTAATGAACATGTATTATTAATCCGCGAGAGTATATAATACTACTTTCTTAAGGGAATGTCGTAGAATAAAACATAGGGGGTACGGAGTAGCAATTACTCTATTCGAATAAGTTCAAAGAGGACCAAAAGTAAATTAATGGTTCATATTCTTAGTATATGTAGATAGTATCGAATAATCTTTTGAAATTAAAGGTAAATGGCTCTATCATCGGATTCTTTGAGAATATGGGAGTTGTACTATATTTAGTAACTTGGTCACGATTACTAATTAAACATTACAAGTTATTTTCATTGTATCCGATAGATATTTGTATTTACATAACAGTTGATAAATAATTTTTAGTGTCAAAATAATCATTTTAAAAGTTATAGTGTTTAACTAAATAACTAATATTGTGGAGATGAATTAACGTATCTAGATATGTATATTTAAAATTATAATATTTATCTGTGAGTTACATTGATAAATTAATGAGAATACGATTAAATAAATATGTATTTAATATATTTCTTGTAATGCATTTATTATTTATTGGAGATTTGGTTTGTGATCTAGATTAGGTAAAATGAATTGTTTCGTGTTTAGGTTAATGCTTGCATATTTGTTTTTTGAAATAGATTAGGTAAAGATGAAATTTCAACCATGTTTGTTTAATTGGAAAAAGGTTTAAAATATTTTGAAATCAAGTGAAAATAGAATAAAAACATCTTTAGGTTAATAATTTGAATTTAAAATATTTTTATTGTTAATAATTTGATCACAATATAAATTAATTAAGTTTCAAACGCAACCTTCAACATCTACTTGTCGACCTTCTTATTATGGTCGAGATGTCGATATCTCCAACTTGAAGGAGGAGAATTTTTTTAAAATAAAATAAATTAATTGATATATATCCCCAAGAATGCAAAAAATATCTTGTACATTTTGAGTGCTGACTTGTCGAAAGTTTTTGAATATCCCCAGAGGCCAACGAATTCATATGAAATCATGAGGCTCATCTCCACTCACTTTTAAGGGTCATTTACTTGATAATAGGGGAATCCAAACACATGGACATTCTTCTTTTTTTTTGGTCTGTTAAATAAAATTTAAATCGATAATAAATATCTCATTTGGCAAGTTTAAAAGCCACGAACCTAATTCTTCTACCAGGCATATTTATATGGTTTTTATTATGCCACGTCATCATAAGTCCATTTCAATCCCATCCAATGTACTAAACTTATAGTAGTAGTATTATTTTATAATAATAATATGGTACTCCTATTTGTTTGTTTCTTTCTTATTGATGGAACAATGTAATTGGGATTTACAAATTGGCTGTCCACAAAATAAAAAGAAACACGACAACTATTTGTACCGTCTTTGTCACGTGAAATACCATGCAATTGTTCATTAATTTATTGTTTACAGTACGTAAACGTGACAATTGATTTGAATTTATTTTGAACGGTTGCAAATTACAAGGGGGCAGGGGCCGTGGGAAACTTGCCTATCAAAATATGATTAGTCTATTTTATTCAAATATAAATGAATTATTAATCCACTTATACATTAATATATTAGTTCATTCTGATTGGTTATATAATTTAAATTGACCCAAAAAAAATAATATTTTTTGCTTATTTTATATGTAGCATACAGTCATGATAAAGAAAAAATAGTTATTAAATTACTTAGATAAATTAATTAAAGTTTAGTGAGAAGTTGATGGTTGGGTATGCCTTATTTTTAAACCCATTTTATGATAGGGTTTGGGGAGAAACAAATTCCCTACTCTTAGTTAAATGCATAAATGGAGAAATGGAGAACGCCTTGGAGATTGGACAAATTGATTCAAGAAGCACAACAAATAGTTGAATCTCATGGATTTATCATCAGTCATTGCTTCAGGGAAGCCAACAAACCTGCTGATATATTAGCATCCAGGAGTTATAGTGTTGATGCAATACATGAGTTCAACTCTTTCTCTGATCTCTCGAGGGAAGTTAGGGGATTAATTAACACAGATAGATGGGAGCTCCCTTCCTTCAGAATGCAACAGGTTAAACCTTCTAATTTTTTTTACAAACCTCCCTGAATCCTCTTTGTCAAGGAGTCACGTTAGTAGAGTAATAGCTAACTTAGACTCCCCCTTTTTTTGTGTTAACTTGTAGAGTTTATCTAACTCTAGTTCTACCCCAAGATCTTGTATTAAGTTTGGTATACCAAACTTCAAAATGTAACTCTTTCATATGATCATATTAATGATCATTGGAGGCAGTTTTAAAAATAAATAAAAAAAACATTTCAATCTAATTCATTTCTGATCAAATTACGTTGGTCCAGTTCAAATTCAACTAGGGCCCAATTCGTTTTAAATATGGGCTTAACTAGGAAGTTCAGGTTAAAATTTTGGTGTACCCTCGTTGGGCTCGGGTCGTTGAAATAAATATGGGCCGGGTCACTTTTTGAGAAGATCCAGGCCCACTTTTATGTGTTTGGATTACTTCGTTGATTTTCTTACGCAAGAGAAAATGTTTCTTTTGTAGCTTACCATTTTATGAATTTTATTTATATTAATTAAGGGTTGTGCAAATATATATTTATGGTTCATAAAGTAAAACTATCATCCAAAGTTTCTAAAATTTAAATTGTGGTTAAAATTTGTGTTTCAAGGTGATATCTAGATCATGATTTAAAAAGTTCATAAATTGCAGGACAAATAAAAATGGATAATTGATATTTGATAGTATTTATTGTGACATACTTATACTAAAGATTGACTGACTTAATGAGAAATCAAAAAAATACTTATCATAAATGAAAAATCTATGAATGAGATCGACAATTAGAAATTTAATAGCTTAGTTGATTAATTAACACATAAAAATTTGATTTCTCACCTTGTAATTTCCAATTGTTAAAAAATTATAATAATTGGGAATTATTTAATTGAAATCCAAGTAGAGAAGGAAACTACCAATTTAACTAATGTTTATTTTTAAAAATAAATAAATATTATAAGCGGATAAATAGAAAATGTTGTTTGTTTATTTAGGGCATAGTAAAATGAGAAATAGCAGAAAGGGGAGAATTGTCAATTGAAAAAGAAAAAGAGATAGAAATTTCTTCACTCGTCGGTAGCCATTAAGAGCCACAGATCCGATCTTATTTTTCTCTTCCCTCTCTATTCAACACTCTAAATCTCTTCACTAAGTGAAAGGTAATCTGTATTTTCAATGTTAATCTAACCCTAGATGTTTATGTGATTTTTGTTTTAGATCTGATTCTTATCATTGTTTGTAACATATAGATTCTTGTTTATTCATGGGTGGGTGATCATAACTATGTGCATCTTTAAGATTAGAAGAACTAAAATGAGTTATTTGAGATAACAATTTGCAGCTGGGTTCTATTTGACCAAATGGGTTTGATTTTAGGGTACCGATGGATGATTATAAGGTGTTGACTGGATGAATTTTGAAGGGGTGGGTCGGTTCAATCCGAACTTGTCAAAGTTTGCTTTGGTTCAAAAATGGGTGTCATAGTCTGGGAATCTTTAAGATTAGGAGAAATAAATTGTGGTAAGGCTTATTTTCGTTGCGTGATTTGGAGTGTTTACGTTTACTGCTGGGTTCCATTGGAACAAAATGAGCTTGACTTTTAGGGCATTAATGGAGGATTTTAGGTTGTTAAATTGATGTATTATGATGGGTTATAGTACAAAACATTGAAATGAAAAATCACTTTTCCATTTATTTTGTTTTCTTTTAATTCTAGGTACATAGTTGACTTGCTAAAAAAATAGTTTATTGTATGATACATTTAAATTATGAGTATCCTACACCCATTTATTTTGTTTTCTTTTAATTGTAGCTACATAGTTGACTTGCTAAAATATAGTTTATTGTATGATACAGTTGAATTATATCTTATATTGGGAGGACTTGTATAATTTCTTTTTTTCCCTCAAAGAAATTGAACCAGCTGGAGGACTACTAGCTGAAGTTGAACCAGCTTCTTCATTGAGTTTGTTTTAAATCTTAAATAAGTGCATCACTCACTCAATCTTGCCTAATTTGAGAGGATATCGATGATGTTGTATCTGAGATTGCAAACTTCTTTTTTGTTCTAGCCTTATTTTCAAGTACCTTATTTGCGATAAAGTTTTGGTTGCTCTAGTTGATTTTTTTTAAGGTCTGATAGTTGTGTGCTTTTTAATGAATTCTTGGAGGGTGTTGTAACTTACTGGTAATAAGAAGGTGGTATTGTCATTTGTTTGTCAATGATTGATATTATGGTGGGTGGTCTAAGCAATCAGTTTTTTCACTAGTGTTAATCTCCTCATGATCTAAGCATTAGTAGAATCTAAAGTCCTAATTCTTCTATTTCTTAACTTGAGCAAGTAGTGTACTCAGTTGACAATGTCTTCCTTGTGTTGATCTTATTACATTTATGTGGCACCTTCTAGGATTGTGAAGTTTAGTTTCTATGGAGGGTGTTGGAGGTGATGGTGCCTCAGCGGCTACAGCATTGAACCAGCGGAGGCATGAACTTTCGAAACTTTTCCAATACTATTTAGATAAAACTACTCCTCATTCTACATATAGGTGGATTGGAACTTTTGTCTTAGCATTGCTTTATGCTCTGCGGGTTTATTATGTTCAAGGATTCTATGTTGTTACCTATGGCTTGGGCATCTACATTCTTAATTTGCTGATTGGTTTCCTGTCACCTCTTGTTGACCCTGAGCTGGAACCTTCGGATGGACCTATGTTGCCAACTAAAGGTTCAGATGAATTCAAGCCTTTCATACGTCGCCTCCCAGAGTTCAAGTTCTGGTAATAATTCCTGCTTTATGGTTTTTGCATTGCTTAATTCTCGGAGAAAGGGTTTGTCACCTGTACATTATATATTATCTTGTATCAGAATTGCCTCAGTTTGCCTTGTCTCATAGTCAAACGTTTGCATTGGGCTTAGCTCTCTTGGTAAACTTTGGAAGTAGGAATTGATGCAGTAGAACCTCCTTGCTGTGTATACTTGAAATCTGGACGAATTTTCTAAGCCAATTTACCTTTTGTCATATATAACAGTCACTCCTATACTTATGTTGCCCATTCTAATGTTTAATATTTGGCTTGGCTGCGCTAACATTAACTTTATATCTTGAACCAGCTGCATGACCATAGATTCAGCTATTTCTAAATGTTGCCTAGAATATTCAGCATTAAGTACTTAGCTAACATTGAGACTAAAAAAAGGAAGTTGTACCTCGTTAAAATATGTTATGGTTCTGTTTACAGGAACCTTTTCCTTTTCTTGACTTGTTACACAAGATCTTACTTCAAAGATCTCATAAATCATAGCAACTAAGATGCATTTGACCTGCACAGATGGACTTGGATATTATGTCCAATTTTCAGTTCATAAGTTGCATTGGCTTATGTGATCCCTGATGGATCTGTCCCATAAGAGTTTTGGGACCTTCAGGAATTGGGAGGTTGCCAAATTGGTTACTGACACCCTTTCAAAGAAATATTTACCCAATGCTCTGACAGCCTGACATCTGTTTTTTCCTTTTGGTTCTTGCTTGTTTTGTAATCTTTTCTGATTACTTTGATTTCTTCTGTCCCACGGACCTTTACAGGGTCTTCCACCACCTCAAAATTAGCACGGTGGATAATTTATTTCCTTGTCTACATGAATTTATTGTTGTGAAACACTGCTGTATTTTTGCATGATTTGCATTTAAGATCTTGTGCTGGCTAATGTTTTGCCTGTGAGAAACAGGAATTGAACAAAGGTGGAAGATTTCTTTTTCTTTTAGTAGGGCGTTGCCAGACAGGCCTGATTAGAGCGGAATGGATATAAAATATTCATATAGCCAATCCCTGTCAGTCTTAAGAAAATAGCAACGCCAACCAGTTTGGATTGAGGTAGTTGATTGATAGTGTTAATGCCAGAAAGCTAATTCAATGCGGTGCTATGCTTAAGTGACTAAGTTGGGTGTGAAGTTGCCCTGTATCTTTTGTTATATAGTTGGCATAGCATAAGAGAGTTTTATGCATGTTTTAGGCATTTAAATACTTTCTTGAACCTGGTTAAAGAAAAGTAATATTTTGAACCTTTTGGTTGTAGCAGCAATATTTATTATTTATCTCTTTCTTTTGCCCCCCATCTTTCTTTCAGGTATGCCATAACAAAGGCTTTCTGTGTGGCATTTGTCATGACTTTCTTCTCCCTATTTGATGTTCCTGTGTTCTGGCCTATATTGTTGTGCTACTGGATTGTTCTGTTCGTCCTTACCATGAGGCGACAAATTACACACATGATTAAATACAGATACATTCCTTTCAACCTTGGAAAGCAGGTAATCTCAATAGCTATTGAGTAGTTTTATATCTCAAATAGTACACATTATCTGCTGAAGTAGGGAATTTTAGGTTACTTATCTCATTTTGAGATGTTTAACATGATTTCTTTTGTTATTGCAACAGAAATATTCCGGGAAAAGGCCATCAGCAAGTGGCAGCAGCCCAAGAGCCGACTGAGCTTTTGCCAGATTTGACCAAACGGAGAAAGTGTAGTAGGAAAAAACAGAAAACAAGATGGATTGCTGCATATTTTAGTTAAAATGTGATTTGTACTTGCATTAATCTCTGACACGAAAAACGGGGAAACAAATGTATTAGTTTGTTAGCGTTCTTTAATTGTTTTCTTTTCCAGTTTTCTGATCATCTCTGGTAGTCATATAAATCTAATTTTGGGACGTATAGAACCAGAGTTATTGCTTTGTTTGCGAAAGAAGCTTCGTATATCGAGGTTGGAGCAGGGTCTTTTGTAGTTACTGGCAGTGGATTTTCATTTGCATATGAAATTTACACCCTTTCAACAACATTACCTTGTGTAGTATAATTTTACAAGTTGGGTTTTGGACGGTATAGTGTAGGTAGATCTTATCAAGGTGGAGGTGGTTTTTGATGGATCCTTGACTCTAGGAAAAGCAAAATAAGACAGTTTGGAAAAAGAAAGTGAAGAAGTCGTGATAAAATATTATAAAAAAACATAATAATTGGAAGAAAAAGGAACAATATAGATAAAATAAAATGATATGATAAACAAAGTATAAGAAACACACAACAATAGAAACTGAAGGACAAGAAATTATGAAGAGGAATACTACTACTACTCACTCGTATATAAGTCCAAGATGCAATTGAGTTATTAAGATTCCTCATGTGCTACTAATATTCTCATGTTACAAACTTGTGCAGTACTAAAAGTAGTATTTTGTGAAGTGGGCTCATTGCTGATGTTTCTCTTGTTGAAGCATTACAAGTAAAGTTGAGTTCGATTATATGAATTCTTAATGTTAATGTCGTTTCATTTAAGCTCATGCAACTCCGGTGTGCGTTCTTTCTCTGGCTGTTTCAAGCTAAACTTCTATATCAGAATAGAATCCTTCTTAGTGTCTCGATAAAAAAGAAGATGAAAAGAAAAGTAAAACATAAGAAAGACTTGAGAGACTGTTAAAATAACAACATACCCAGTGCAATCCCACAACACAAGTGAGTCTGGGAGAGTGGTGTATACGCAACCTTGCTCCTACCTTGTGAAGGTAGTCGGTAGATATACTTCATAGATTGTTAAAAAAGAAGAAGTTACATGAAACATAGGAGATATTGCAAAAGAGAAGTAAAAAAGTTAAAATCTGGGTAAGCGAAAGGTTTCTTTTCAATAAAATCCGCCCAGAGAAGTAATCCAATACAAGAATCCTATGTATTTGTCAAGATGCCATTCTATTTTTTCTGATATATGTATAATGTGTTACAATATGACATGGGTTCATATTTAATACGAGTATCTCTCCTATAATCGATCAGTAGGACTCAAACTATTAGCTATATATAAACCATAGCATGTTACAAAATGTGTGGCAGAATGAAACTACTTCGCCAAGCTTACTCTTAGTCTCCAGAAGTTAAGCTTGCTCTCTGAACTTCTTGTAAATATCGCCTTTATAGAACTTTCTTGTTCTAAGCACCAAAATGTATGATACAATGCACCCTACAAAACTTGCTGCAGCAATTATCAGAAAAGAAGACCTGTAACACTCTATACCGATGCATGTTAAATGATCCCCTGGCTTCCTGAAAAGTCCCAAAGCTGCCATTTGCCTCAAAGCTTCCTTGTCATAAAAATGACCAACCAATCTAACATTGAATACATAAGCTCCAATTGGGCTAGCTGCTCCGCCAAAGTTGAGAAGTGTAGCATAGTGTTTTAGGCCAAAAAGTTCTGATATGATGGAAAATATCAAAGGTGCCATAGCTCCAAAGCAAAACCCAAGAATAGCCAATGCAACATCAAGAACACTTGGCACACCCATTGCTATAAGAATATGACCAAAGCAAGATAAAAGGAGCACAAAAGTAAGCATCAACGGACGAGGTACTTTATACTTTGTCAAGAAAATCTCAGAGACAAAGCCAGAGACTACTCTTCCAAGATAACCCCATATACTCACTAGTGAAGTAAATGTTGCAATACTCGTGTTAGGATATCCTAACGCCTTACCAATTTGACCTATGTTATCAATAGCAGTCAACGTACCACCAGCTCCAAAGATAGTAGTAATAAACAAAATCAACATGTCAATGCTCAAAAGTGCTTGCAAAATCGTATAATCTTCACCTCTCTCCGGTGGCTTAAACACGTTCTTGAACCATAAAACTTCTTTCCCCTGACTTCTCGAAGGTAACTTCCCTTGCTCTAGTCCTTTCAACGGCGTAAAATCATCTAAAACTTGTTTCCTATTCTTCCCAATTCTCAATTCTTCTCTGATTACAACCACTATAGGTGCAAACAACAAAAGCAACATGATACAAGAACTCAATCTATATTCAACTAAAGTGAAAGCTACCCTATTTTGCAAAATGGTGACCATTAACAGAAATCCAGCAAGACCAAGTGATATATAAAGAAGCTGATAAAAAATATTCACCTCATTTTCTTGACGATTAACGCCTTTCATAACCCTAACATACTTAAGCAAAGTACAACAAACAAATGGTGGAAGCCAAGCAATTAACAACACTAAAGATTTCCCATTATTCCCATAAATAGCATGAAACAATTGTGTTATAATTGCACCACTTAAACCAACAAAACCCTTTAACAATCCAATCACAATTCCCCTGCTTTCAGGGAAATTCTTAACACAAGTTACTAAAGCACCAGTATTAGTAAAAGTTTGAGAATTTGCACCAATCATTAAACATAAACACATTTGCCAAACCTGGGGTTTGACTAATTCATCACCGTTGACTGCTAACCATAAGTAAATGTACCCAGAAAAATTCATCAATGACCCAATTAGAAGAACAACCCATGGTGGGCAAACTTCATTGATTAAACCAGCGATGATTCCTACATTGGCACCAACATCCTTAAAGAAAGATAACAGATTTAAGGTTGTTTGATCATAACCCAATGAAGATTTGACATTTTGTGAGTAAAGACCAAATAAGTAAGTGCCACCAGAAACAGACAAGATCAAGATTGAAGCGAAAACAGTGAACCATCGGCCATTGAAGAAAGGGGTTGGGGTTTTACCCAAATTTCTCAAACTCAAATCTGCCGTCATCAGTTTTCACTTTGAAGACTCCGTCAGATCGGCCAAGTTTCGATCTGTAAACACCAGCCGTTTTGGTCAATGGCTTTGAAGTTTCCATTTTCATGGCAAAGTTTGATAGTTTATAAATTGGTTAAGGAAAAAAATAATAGAAAAGTCCGACTTGTTTGGTACGTCCGATGAGATAGTCATAAAATTATTTTATCTCATTTAATAATTTTATTACGATAAAACAATTTTGAAATTAGTTAATATTTATAATCAAATATCGAATAAAATTGATCTCAAATTATATCCTGAGATTAAGTATATTTATTACTTCTCATTACGTATCTTTTTCCCCATATTTTTTGGGGATAAAAATTAATAACTTACTTTTGTTAAAGTTTTCCAAAATTGGTTGAGGGTATGTATTATTCCCTCTTTATATGATGTTGAGTAATTTGTTCAACAAAAAAGGATCTAATATTCACATATGAGATTATGTTTGGCATAAAGGAAAAGGTATGGAGAAAAATAAGTAATTTTTTAAAAATTATTTGGCAAGTAAATAAATAAAAAAATTATATGTGATTTAATAAGATATTATAGGATGGAATGTGAAGGGTGAAAAGTAAGAGTTCAGAGAAGTGCTGGGTGGAATGATTAAAAGGTGAAAATTGAAGGCGTTCGATAGATAAACGACAATAAATTTAAAATGCTATTTATAAAACTTTATTTTTTTAATGATTTTTTTCTTCATTTTTAACAAACTTATTTTACTAAAAGAAAAATATCTTCATAAACTAAATATAAAAAAGTACAAAATATTTTCTGAAATAATTTTTCTCCCCTCTAATCAATATAAATTTGTCCATATATAGTTAGTAGCATCTACTTCTATTGATGGTCCAACTTCAAAATTAGGGTGGGCAACTTTCACAAAAATTACAAGTAGATTGTATGTTGGACTTAATCAATATGTACTTTATTTTCATTATTTACATTTTGTGTTGACAAAAATGTAGTGAGCATTTGGAATTATAATTATTATATGATGCAATAAACATGTGGAATTAACTCTTTTTTTTTTTTTGTTCTTATCCTCGCTGTAATAGATAATATTTAGGTAAATAAATTGACAATTTTGATTAAGATAAAGATCATTTACCAAACAAAAATGGATAAACTTTTAATGAAAAGTAATCCCATTTTAGCATGTACTTGTTTTTTTTTCTATATCATGTAATTCATCTTATTTCTATTAAAAAAAACTTTTAATGAAAAGTAATCCCAGGTGTAGGATGAGCTGTAAAAGAAAATTTGAGGCAAGTAAGCCTAATTACGTTACGAAATATAACGGCTATATTTCTTCGAATTTGAAATAGACGTCCCTTTAAAGTCCATCACAGCTCTTCACTCATTTAACCCCCCAAATTCTTCACTCCACAATTCTCATTTTCTCTGCAAATTCACATACAAAGTAAGCGAAAGCGTCTCAACAATTCTTCAAGGTACCCTTCTTTTTTCCATCCTGTAATCTTTTATCCTGTTGATTCTTTTCTGGGTTCAAGTAGATTTTAAGGCTGAGTTCAGGGCTTGTTATCTGTTGATTATTGCAATGAATCTTTAGGAATTTCTTATAATTTTGAATTGTTTCAAGATTTGATGTCTTTTTCGTTTTTCTCTATCTGAGTTCTTGAAGTATCATATAGCCGATCACAAATGTTGCTTAATGGAGTACTAGTTATAGTCTTTGTTTTCTTGGGAAATTTTGTTACTGAAAATTAGCAATAAAGAAATCACAAGATTGGGATGTTTTTTACATGATTTCAAGAATAGAACAGAATTTGATGTCTCTCTCTGTTTTCTCTATCTGGGTGTTTGCAGAATTATCGTAAAGATGAATGACCTGATGACGAAATCATTCTTAAGTTATGTTGAATTGAAGAAGCAGGCTATGATGGATCTTGAAGCAGGGCCTGATATTGAGATGGGTCAACTCGACCCGACTGATGAAAGGAACCTCACAAAATTCTTTGAAGAAGTTGCTGTAATTAAGTCAGATATGGAAGAGATTAACAATCTTCTTGTCAATCTTCAAGACCTTAATCAAAAAACCAAATCAGCCCCGAGTGCCAAAATTCTTCAAGGACTTAGAGATCAGATTAACTCTGACATTATTACTGTTCTTAGGAAGGCAAAAATCATCAAAACAAGACTTGAATTGCTTGATAAATCCAATCTTGACAATCGTGGCGTGTCAGCAGCGTATAAAGAGGGAAGCCCGGTTGATCGAACGAGGATTTCAGTGACTAATGGTTTGAGAATTAAACTGAGGGATATGATGAATGATTTTCAGTGCTTAAGGGAAAACATTGTAGCAGAACACAAAGAAGGCTTAAGGAAACAGTATAGTAATGCTAACGGGAAGGAACCGAGTGAGGAGGCGATTGAAAAGATGATGGAAGAAAGGGTTTTTGAGGGTAGAGTAGAAAAGGGGGTGGTGGAGAACCAGGATAGGCATGAAGCTGTGAAAGAGATACAGAAAAGCTTGGTTGAGCTGCACCAAGTGTTTCTTGATATGGCTGTTATGGTTGAGACACAAGGTGATCAAATGAACAATATTGAGCAAAATGTAGTTAATGCTGGTGGATATGTGAATGGTGGGATGAAGGAGTTAGATCGTGCTAATCGAATGAAGAGGACGAGGACTTGGGCTTGTTGGATTGGCGCGTTGGTGCTGGTTTTCTTGTTGATATGCCTTATTGCAATTCTATTTTGAATTCAGGGTGAGAAAAAAGGCTTTGAGGATCTCTATCACTTTTGCTTCTTTTTGTTCTGTTTCTTCTTTTCAGTACGTACATCATGCTTCTGTTTCTTCTCTGATGGCGATGGACAGAGATCTCTTTTCTCTTATAGACATAATAGGGTTATGTGATGAATTTATGCTCATCAACTGCTTGTTTGTATGTAAAATAGATTGAAAATGATACATCACTTTTGGAGATTGGAATATATTGAATTTGATCAAGATAATAGTGTTTTTGCAGTCCTATTGTCTCTGCTACCCCTTCGATTTTGTATTCTGTTATGTCATTGATTTCATTTCCTTATTATTAAGTACAGCAAAAGCATTGTTAAGGAATTTTGTGATCCATTCTTTCGCAACGATTATGGACAAAGATATAAGATACTTTCAGTTCTGATGATTTTGTTGGAGAACCAAGTAAATAGTATTTCTTTACTATGAACATTAGTTCCTTTTTCATTTTACGATAGGATAAAGTTTTGTGAGTTCGTTATTATAGTGAGGTAAGGCATGACAAAAAAGTACTAAGTTTTACCGAATCGTGTTAGCTATACTGTACTCTAGCTCCGCGTCTTAAGTTCAAGTACAACCACTAATGAAGTGAGGAATCTTGGATTATATTTTTTGATTTGGTTTCCCACCTGGTGTCATTGGGGATCAAATAAATCAGAATTTGCGTTGGGAAGTTTCACAGTGATGGCTAAAACGCTTTATAATAAAGTCGACTTGTACCAGCCAGCAAGGTCGTACACGAGACCTCTGGAGTCCTTTTCACTCAGTCCACAACCTTTGTTGGTGGAATCTTGAATTATATGCCTTAATATACTGAGGTAAATGCTGAATCTACATTTGTAGAGGTCCCTAATTAAGTTGTTTTGCACCTTCAAAATGGTGAGGCAGGGTACTTATCACTGTGTCATGGACTGCAGTTTTTTGGATTTGTATATAAAAATTTATTGAAAATTTTGTACATAATTTAGTATATATGTTGAAGAAAAATCCAGTCACATAGCATTATTTTCCTCAAAATGGGAAATATATTTGTAAGTAACAAAGCCAATTTTGCACTTTGTAATGAAATCTATCCAAATTGGTGGAGATAGAACCTGGAACTACCTTGCATTTTTGGGTTCCAACGATCAGTTCAACTAAACCTGCTGTTTTATTTCTTCATGGATTTATTGCCAATGGAATTTTCACTTAGTACTCTCCTTGAGTTCAGATTTCGCTGTCTACGTCCCTGACATAGTTTTTCTTCGGAGACTCCTTCACCATTCGTCCTGAACGGTCAACGAGCTTTCAGGTATTGAATTGTACAACCATATCATCTAATCATATCATGTTTAACAAGTTTTGACTTTCATTTTTCGAACTTACTAAATGTAATTTTCTGGAAATATAATTACAATTGCTAGTCAAATATACAAAAGTTGTCGACTATTATTTTGGGTGACAATTACTTGTTTTTTTTTTCTTTCATGAGACAAACAGGCAGAATGTTTGGCAAGGGGGATGATGCAATTGGGTGTGGAAAAGTTTAATTTGGTTGGATTTTGCTATGGATCAATGATTGGGTTTAAGGTGGCCCAATTGTATCCTTACATGGTCATTTCAAGTGGAGTTAATTGCAAAGCAGGTTATGTTTGCAAACCCAAAGGAGAAAGAGGAACTTGTTGAAGGTTTAGTGATCAGAGAGTGACAAAGACGCCATTATTAACCCTAATTACTCCCAGGTTTGTTCAACATTTAACAAATCTGATTATTCTTTTCTATATATTTTACACAGAGGATTTATATTTTATGTGGAGAGGATGACAAGATTTTTACCAAGCCGATTACTGATGACATGAAAGAGTTAGTCATTTTTCCTGAAAATGATTTCGAAACTCATAAATATCAAATCTATAAATCTGATGTGGTTTTTTTTTAGTACAATGATTGCAGGAAGTTCGGTGAGATTGCGATACTCGAATATTTTACCTGGAAGGTGCAGGACATCTAGTTCAAATGGAGCGATCATTTTCTTACAATCAATGTCTCAAAAAATTTCTTTCCTCAAAGTGATGCAAATATGTGATGGAGCTGCATTTTTATAATAAATATCGCCTGAGAAATTTTAGTATGATATTGTATTTATATAATAAATGTCACCTGAAAAATTGTAGTAGTTCAACTAGTTAGCTACCTCAACTTTTTGATGGGAAAGACAAGCACAAAATAAATGTCTACGACAGGGCAATAGCAGAAGAAAATTCAAGTCAAAACTTTTCCTTCTATTTGAACCAAGAAACGACAAAATAATGCAAGAATAAACACTGTTTGGGGCAGCAAACAATCAACCAAGCAAGCAAAAATAAATAATCAACACAAGAGACACCAAATTTAACGTGGAAAACCTCTTCAATGTGAAGAGTAAAAACCACAAGGCCAAAGCTCCACTAAAATCAACAAGAGTTACAAAAGTGTTCTCCAAAATGGTCACCAACGAAGTGTCAAACAATGGGCAACACAACTACAAGATAGCACCAAAAACTAGAGAAATAAAAGAAGCAAAAACACCAAACCCGCAGCTATTGTTTACGAGCTAAAATCTGGAGCTACAGGACTCCAAATCACCTTTTCTCAGTTCCCAATCAAAGATCAAGTTGAAAGGAACAAGCTGTCCAAAAATCAGCTTAATCGAATAAGAAAAATGAAGCGGGAATCGCGATTTGAAATTGGTTGCTAGGGCTTGTGCGAAAATCTGCACTCTCTCACTTTTCTCTCTATATGACTGCTCTCAAACTCTTGTGATTCTTTTCAAATAAGACCTAAAAGAAAGTCTTACATATGCACCATAATATTGGGCTTATGGACAAAAGTAGGTTAGTCAAATTTGGGCTAAATGTATCCACAAAGGAAAGGAAGAAAGACCCAAAACCTTAAATTTTCATTTATCCACATAGAAAGAAAAAAAGGCCCAAAACCAACACTTTCATCATATTGCAACATATTGCAAGGGGTTCGATTTCCTGTCTTGTTATCCATTTTCCCTTTTACAATCCCCAATTGTTATTATTATTACTCCATTATTGTTATTGTTATTAACAACAGTAAAATCCCTCATCAAATCTGGTGAATTCTCAACTGAAATTTATAACCATTCAACATTTAATACAATAGATAATGATATTTTACATTGTGAATATACTCTAATACAATCTCAGTAAGTTACTAATATAAAAATTAATTAATGGCTGTAAATTAAAATAATTTCAATTTCAATTTTCTCCAGTAGGAGTAACAATATTTGTTGAGCCTGATCTCTTGAAATGGGTCGGGGCGGGCCTTAACCAACTTCGCCCACCAATCATATTCTTGGTAAGAAATGGTGCGGCGTCCTCGTTAGATAGGCTACGTGACCAGCCCACCCTCTTTGATCTATTAGCACCTGGTCCGTAACACTTGTATTCTCCATAGTATGAAGTGCTGCCACAAAAAATACAAACAAATTATAACCGTCAAATACAGAGATGGATTCAGAATTTTAAGATAATGTGATTTGAAGTCATAGGCCTTAGTGAATAGTGAAGGGAAATGTAGTCGTTACAATTTGTTAACACGGGATTATCAAATGTAGTTAAATAAACAAAAGTGTAGGGCCGGGAATGTAGTGGTTACAATCATTAATTAACATCTCTTAATGACAATCCTAGGTTCTCTGTTTGATACGAATACTTGCAATATTAATTAATCTCAAGGTGGCTAAAGATTTTGTGAATACAAATGCTTACCTTTGCTTGGTAGAATCTCCCCAGTCATTCCATCCCTCTGGCTGTATGATATTAGCCATAAATGTGTAGGCAAAAACCACCCTAGAGTATGAACCCCATGGTCTTCCTAGTGAAGTGTTCCCTCCTGTACCTGTTATCTTGCAACCTAAAAATGTAAATCCTGAATTTTCTAAAGGGGACTCTCTGCCTTGAGCTGTGATTGCCCCTGCTGCAACTGAATGAATATGGCACCTCTGCCAAAATTTGCAAATACATTTACTACTACAAAAATATAATTTACTTTGAACTTATTGATACACTAATACTAATGAGTTTAAGTTGTATGCACTGACAATGATCGTCAAAGATATTTACACAATCAAATCATTTAATTTCTTATAATTAATATGTTAAATTAACATGTTACACTACATTGATACTATAATTTTTTTGTATATTGTTAAACCCTATCATTTAAATCTAATTATAATTGTTGAATTATAAGAACTTACTTCATAGAGAGAAGCTGCGCTTCCGAAAATAAAATCAACGGCCCCTTCAATGTAACAATTGTTGAAATAATGCCTACCAGCATCGTCTAACAATGTATCTTGATACGATTGAATTCTACAACCATAGAATGCACCTCTATCTCCTTTAACCTTTAATGCCACAGCTTTGCCACTCGTTCCGAATAAATTCTACATAATAAACGTCAAAATCAGATAAATAAATTGAAACGAAGCAAGGAAGTGAGCATTAATTATTTACCTGTATTGTCAAATATCTTGCAACAAAATCGGAAGCTAATACAGTGAGTGTAGGAGATTCAGTTATATCTCCACCGTCACTAGATGTAATTATTGTATTAGAAGCCTCTGTTCCACTCAACGTGATGAATGGCTTATCAGCAGGCACTATAATCTTCTCTCTGATAAATCCATGCAAAATAGATTTTTTAAGAATTTAATTAATTAATTTTTATGTACACTGACATATGAAAGAATTGTTCATCTAATGATAATTAATGTCTAAATTGCACATAAAAAATGAAATTAATAACTTGAAAAATATCAATGCCAGATTACCTATATTGTAACAATTTTAAGTTTATGCGGTTTGAATTTTAGAAAAAACAACTTAGATTAATGTAACATCGTCTGTCTAGATATTTTTTTGGCGGCTAGATCGAGAACATATACTATATATAACATAACATGAAAAATGATTTTAAGAAATCTTTGATCATTATAGTTAAATGTTATTACAGAGATGTCTCACTATAGTTATAAATCAATTTATAATTAATAGAAATACAAAATTTTGACTAAAGCTATTGTATTCTGCCTAGCTAAAACTCTAGTCTCTGTTCCTAATACTCCCTCTGTTTCACAAAGAATGACCTAGTTTAACTTGGCACGAAATTTAAGAAAATAAAGAAGACTTATGAATCTTGTGGTCATAAATTAAATTTATGTCAAATGTACAAAATCACCCTTTAATTTTGTGGCCTTAAACATGCCACGTAGAAAGTTGAAATTAAAATGTTATTAAAAAAAAAGAAAGAGATCATTCTTTTTGAAACAGACTAAAAATGAAAGGGGGTCATTCTTTTTTAACAGAGGGAGTAACAGGTTAAAAAATACAAGATAACCACGAACCTGTAAGTTCCAGGTTTAACCCAAATGAAGAATAATTCAGAATTATTCGATGGAACAGCATCAATAGCATCTTGAATATTTTTGAAATCTCCATGACCTGATTGATCCACTCTAATTAGAATGGCCGTAGAAAAATTTGTACTAGAGTCGTTTGCAGCCATGGCTAAATTACATGAAGTATTACAACAAATGAGTAGAATTAATATAAGATGAAATTGGATTATCAATGAAGTAGCATCCATGTGCAATTAATATTTCAAGTAATTAAACAGCGGTCTCGATGGGGGTGCAGAGAATAAAGATAATAGTAAATTAATTAAGAAAAGTAAAGTTGATTAAAAAGCAGAAACATTGTTAAGCTTTATAAAGAAGGTTTCTTCCTTAATGAACGCCGGCAGCCGAGAATTAGTGTCAAAGGATTGGTGGCTTACTTTTTAATTTGCAGATTGATTAAGGTCTAAGTTGTTCACCATTCACGTTAACCATGGAATGCATGCATTCAATTCAACATTAGTGGAGTATAATATATATATATATATATATATAATCTTAATATAAACAACTTGGCGGAGAGGCTATTAGGTTTTGTAGAATAAATATTACTGTACATGTTATTGTTGTGTATATGGCTAGCTATTTATATATTACATGGCAATTGGCATGGACTCACATTTAGGCCAGTCATGAGCTCGAGGAACACAAGGCAAAAATCCGCACCATGACACCACCACAACCAAAAGTTTGGGTGTGGTGTACGTGTGAGAATGACAGAGTCGAATTTAGGATTTCAGCTTTACGATTTATGAATTTTATAATGATGATTTTAAGTAATAGTAACTAGGTTTTAATTTTAATATTTGTACAGATTTAATGAATTTATTAACACAAATATATTATTTGAGCAAAATCTACTAGATTCGCCTGAATCCACATAGGGGCCGAAGCACCTTGCCCCTACTACTCCCCAAACGTGTAAACAAGTTTGCAGGTCATTCTGCCTTGTAGTTTGCAACCAACCAAACAAGATGAAATGGTTACAGACAGGAGCGAAGCCCAGCTTGTAGTAGTGGGTTCATCCGATTCCCCTTCAGCAAAAACTTATAGTAGTACAATATATAGTTAAAATTATTTTCTAAGTATATATAGTAAATCTCCTTTAGCTATACTTATTCAGAGTTTGAACCTCCTTAGCGAAAATCCTACTTCCGCTAGAGATTGTAGAAAATTTAATTTATATGCGATAATGTTAGCTTTATTTGAGTAGTCGATTAAGAAGAAGAATGCTATTCGAAGTATTATTAATTGGTGAAGTCCATTTTACTCATCAATTTGATGGTTGAAACATTCCTTAGCTTAGCTATATATAAATTATGATATTCAATAAAACTGGTTAACCAATATCCTGTGATGCCGGGCATGCAGAGTCTTCAATAGTAGTTACTAATATTTTACAATTTTAAAGTTGTTGGTAGAAGAATTATAAAGAGTACATAATAGTTGGAGCAGAGATACTGGTATGGTTGTATGCGATAATATGGAACATTTTAATATCAACCAAATCAGCAGTACACGCCAACGTTTTACTTGTTTCTGAATCTACAAAGTGATGATATGCATGATGTAATTGCTTAATTATAAACGCCGATAACTAGTTACATAAGTTTGCAAACAAAAGCTCGCAGTCGTTTGTTCATGTAATTTGAAATTAATATCGAAATGGGTTTAAAAAGAGTAATTTAGATAGAACCGATCATTTTGTTCATCAATTTTTTTATTTTTTTTTTAAAAATAAAATAAAATGTTTTTTCTATTAATTGCCAATCAGAATTTTCACTTGTTGTGCATTCTTGTGACAGCTTATTAGTAAATGTATTTTATTTTTAATTTATGAAATTTTTTAGATCATGATTACACTATTCTTTTGAAGAACATCGAAAATGTTAGACTACAGGCTAAAGTCTCGTGAGTAATTACAAGTCCTAGATGATAGTCTAATGATTTTTATGTAAAATTGATAAATAAATATTAGAATCAAGTCTAATATAAACCGAAAGGATAATTTCTAAATATTTTATTTGCATTACTTCTAAAAATACAAAGAAAGTCTGAATGCGGCTCTAAAAAATAAAACATCATTGTAAATCAACATTTAATTGCACGAATTATCCTTTAAATACGTTTTGATATTTATTTTCAAATAAATTATTCTTTAATTTTTGTTTTTTTGAAATAAATTAGTCCTGGTTAGACATAAGTTTCTTAAAGACATAGGACATAACTTACGAAATATTATAATACAAAATTATAAACTTATGGTTAGTAAAAAGTGAATTGAAAGACCAACACAAATTAGCGTTGAGAAGTGTAAATGGCCCGTAAATGAGGCCTTTCCGGTACTTGAGATTGTTCCGGTCCAAACAGATAATGGGCTCTTCAATTAAAAGCCCATCTTTTCAATATTAGCACCGCAGCCATCTTCTATAAATCTTGAGGGAAACCCTAATTCTCACAACATTAGGGACTCTGTTTCAGCACTCTCTCTTTTAGCTTTCAATTCAATGCAGGGTTTCATTTTTCTCTTTCTGTTTGTGTTATTTTTGTTGCATAATTTGATTACGAAAGAGGTGCGATGATGAGGTTATTGAATAATCTCGTTAATCTGATAATAGCTGAGGAAAATCTCTCTATCCATTCTTAATCCACTGAGCACCTTCTCTTCTTTTAATTTCTTTTATTTTAGTTTTCCAGCTATCTAGGGATTTTTTTCTCTTAAATTTCATTTTGTGTTTCTGTCTAGGAATTTGATATAATAAAAGGAGGGAGGGAGGTGTGATGATGAGGTTGTTGAATAATCTCGTTAATCTGATTATATTGCTGACGACAATATCTCTATCCATTCTTAATCAGCTGAGCACCTTCTCTCTTTCTTTTTTTGCCTCTCTGTGTTGTGTAGAAACTTGAAAATTATTGCGGTACATTATTTGAAAGTTTCCATACTCTAATTTTAGTATTTAGTTTCTAAAATATTATATTATTATCATGCTAATTTAATTTAGTATATTAAGCTTTTAATTCAGTATATTGAAGTTTGATTTCTATTTTTTACGATATGATAAGTCAACTTGGATTAATATCTAAATATTTGAAAGAGTATTATGATTTCAACAATTAAAAAAAATGTATTAACACATTATACACTTAGAAATATATATTCAAAATAAAGTATAAATAATTTCTTTTTTTAATTAATTTTTCAAATACATTTTAATTAAAATAGAATAGTTAAAGTTTAACTTTTAAACATTTAATTTATACTGAGGTATTTTAATAACATATATGTTATTTATGTAATTATATATTTTGATATGATATTTAAATATAGATATGTTATTTTTAAATATTAAATATAATATAAAAAAATAAAATATATACCATATCGCGTCCACTCTTACACCCAAAAAAAAAAAAAAAAACTTTCTTAAAAGCTTGAAAATCTGAACATGAGTTTTGTGATCTATATTCTATGAATCTTTTGATCTAAAGCTTACTGTGATTTGTTGGCGTTGATGGTGTGAAGCTATGAATGTTAATCGATAAATGACTAATAATTTCATTTTACCCCCTTAATTAACCTGGCATGGGTTGTCCGGTATTTTTTTACATGTTGGATTGCACCAAGCTAGATCCAGGTGGTAGGGCTAACGTTACGGAGGGTATTTTTTATATCAAAAATAAATGGAGAATAAATGTGAGCTATTTTATATTTTTTGTGTCCACTTTTTTTTTTAGTTGTTCCTAATTATTTAATTATTTTGATAAATAGACAATTTCTTTTACCTATTATTATATCTTCAATTAATTATTTTGAAAAAGGTGAACAATTTTCAAAATCTTAAGTTTTTAATTCATCAATTTCATAATTAATAGAAATAAAATGATAAACTCACTATGTCAATTATTATTTTTTTAATAAGTGTGTATCAATTCAAAAATAAATAAGTAATTATGGACAGTATTGAATTGTTGAGAGTGTTTCACACCTTTTTAAGAAAAGAAGACTATGACATAAATTAGACATTATTTTTTATTTTTATCCTTATTAATTATTGCCAAATTAATCTTTAAAATAATTCAAAGCAATTAAAGTATCTTGAAAGCAATACCTTAAAGTATATAGAAAACAATACCTCAAAAGGAATAATGGAAGTCGTATTTACTTAACTAACTAGGAATTTATTTACTTTTTGCTTAAGAATTAACTAGGAATAATTGTTAATTTAATTATAGCAATCGAAAATGAGTAAAGATCTTTCACCATTTTAACTCCTCTTGGAGTTGGGTTTGAAATCACTGATGTGTAAAATGGTTTGTTTCTTTCGATATTCAGTATTTTAATTTGGGAGCATGGTGTTTCAATGGAGGAAGGAGATTAAGAAGATTAGAGAGATGAGTTTGGGGTTTTAATTTGGTATAAATGGATTGGGTTCGGATTAAAAGAGAAAATCGGGTCATTTTAATTGAAATTAGGTAATTTTGGTTGATTTGGGGTTTTCGAAATTGAGTAATTTTAGTTGATTTGGGGCATTTCATCTAATTGAGGGGTACAAGTGACAAGTATGGTAACGATGAGGGTAAGAATAACTTCATTTTTAACGAGAGTATTTTTTACCCTTTTCCATTTCACCAAATGCACGTTGATATTATTAATGAATTTAATATTAAATATATAATTTCATGTTATTCACCAACTTGATAGTAGTATGTGCGTAAGTCTAAACAAATACTAAACGGATCCAAAAACGGATAAAATGTATGAATCTGATATAAAATTGTTTTTTTTTTTTTAAAAATAATTCGTTTCTTTTATTTTTGTGTAGTGTTGATAGTGGAATAAAACTGAATTGAAATCATTGATAGCAATTAAATTGATAAATAAAATTATATTTTGTTTGATTTGATTTTAATAATGTAAAAAGTTATAAAATTGATTTGTTTGTGATTTTGATTAATTACTGATCCAAACCAGCATATCTAACACATTAGACTCAACAAAATACAAACAACTTGGAAGAAAGATCAAACTTTTATCCAAGACATTAGGCCATCTAAAACAAAATAATTGAGAGAAAAAGATAAATATGACTCTGCTTTTGTGTAGTTCTGTCGATATTAGGTCCAGCAAAGTGCAAACAATCACAATCAGAGGCTGATGATGGAGATAAATATTGTAGGCTCAACATGAAAAACGTACCATTAGACTTTTCTTATTTCCTTAATAATTGAAAAAAACCCCACACCGGAAGAACATCATCATCGCGATCACATCCATTACATCTTCAGAGGAATTGATGAACCTTGACAATACAGTAGTATTTAGAATTTCCGTATTCATGTCATACGAGCAGAAAGATTTCTTGTCCTGCTTCATGTAGAACAAAACAGAATTGTCAGCAAAAGCAATAAATGTCATTAACTCCATCAAGAAATTCAACTTCATGATCCGTGTTGTTTCATCCCATCTCAACTTTTTGTAATCATTTAATACCAAAACACGGAGCTCATCATTTACTTGTTCAATGAATGAGAGCTGGCCATTCCAATCCATGAGACTAGGGCTGGTGAAGAAACCTCTGGGCAAAATAGTATGACCAATGTAGGTCTCATTAACCATATCCAAAACATCAATTTCTATATCAGTACAATCATCAATATGCCAAATGCAATAAGCAACTCCCGTTCTAAAGAAAACCTGAATTCCGTTCCTCTTATTGTTTTCATGATGTAAGTTAGGTAGCTTCACATCTCGCCAACAATAAGTACTTTTATCCCTCCCAATTCCAAGAGAGAGGATTTCATAACCATGTTCATGAACAGAAACCAACTTGACAGCTAAGCTATCAAAGACGAAATCCAAGGCGATGCATAAACTAGGATTTAGTGGATTGGGGATATCAAGCCTTTGTCGTAATATAGAGCATTCAATGCGGTATCTCTTAGTAGAAGAATCATGAATGCTAGTAAATTTCTGGAGATATAAGCCTTGACTACTCGTAGTAGTAATGCTAAACTCGACTTGGTCTCTGTCTTCGTTTTCTAGGTCCTTCAAAGTGTTTTCTGTCTCCTTCAAAGTGCCTGTCAGATCATCCAAGTTTAAACCAGATTCTGAATTTCGATAGTGAAGGAAGGCGAGATGAGGATGAAGAAAAAGGGTATTCCATAGCTTGCAAACAGATCTAAATTTGAACAATGATGAGAGTGGCAAGTAACTCAATATGTAAAATATTAATTTATCAGGAAGCTGCGGGTAATTCTCCTCCTCAACCATTCTCATTCTCATTCTCATTCTCTTTCTCATACACATTCTGAACACATGAAAATCAAATACTCCTTTGTTAGAGATCAATTAACCAACCAACAATATTCAGATTTGTAAAATAAACTATGGACAGAGATTAAATCAAATTAGTAGATACAAACCTCGATTGATTTCCTAACATACATACGATTATTTATAGTACATAGCCCCTTCCTTTTTGGTGTCCCAAACCAATATCAATAAGGAATACAAAATATTATGTGGTATATTTAAGGTATTTTTATGTCTATATATTGATTTTGAACCTTTTAAATATAAGATTAGAGGTTGACTTAGTGGTCGATGAGTTTCATCTTGAGGTTCCAAGATCAAATATTAGGCATTACTCTCTTTTTTTTTCAAATCCCCTTAATGGAAATCTTGAATGCTCAAAAGTCTATATTAAGGAATTGGGACTTTTATTTATTAATTTTTTGCTCGAAAAAACAAGTTCTACACCTAGCAAACACGCGAGAGCGTCTTTGTATTTTAAAAAACTTTAGGCTCTTTTTAAACTTTTCAAAACAGTCTTACTAGTTTTTTTGGAACACGTCCTTCTTCATGTTAACAGAATAACAAAGCCAGTTGGGGGTCTCTGTTTAAAGGCAACCAATTTTTAGACAACTTATAAAAAAAACAAGAAAATTATTGTACTCCCAAAAATGTGTAAACCCCTAAATTTTAATTATTTTTTTTATGTTTGGATAAAACGGCACAGAGGACATTTTTATTCATTTCACATAGTTTAAGGATATTTTTTACCTTTTTTATTTATTTTATTAAAGGGTAAAGGGTCAAATATGCCCTTAAACTATTCGAAAAGGTCTAGATATACCCTCCGTTTAAAGTTTGGCTCACTCATGCCCTCGTCGTCCAACTTTTCGTCTAAATATGCTCTTATGGGCGTTAGTTGGCCTGCTGGACATATCCAGCTCATTTTCCATTTCTTTAAATGCCACATGGAATTGCCATGACTTTACCACATGACATTTATATGAAAATGGAAAGGGATCAATTATGCCCCTAAAAAATTCGAACTCATAAACACTTAATCCGACCCATAAATCAACCCCCTTTTAAATAAACTACCTGACCCGTTTTCAACAATTTTGTTTAAATTTTTATTTTTTTCGGTAAATCCCGAAAATTAGTAATTGATTAACAAAAAATAGGAAAAATATGAAAAAAATATAAAATTAACGCCAAAAATTTACAAATAAATATTGTAACCTTAAATTCAACAATTTCAACAATTTTTTTTTTCCGATAAATCCCAAAAATGAGTAATTGATTAAGTTTAGGGGCATATTTGACCCTTTACCCTTATTTTTAATCAACTACAAGACTAATTTA